CAGAGCTCATGCTTTTGAAGTAACCATTGCTAGCAGATTTCCATCAGCATTACAGGATATAATCAGAGTCATTCTTGTCTGTTACAGTATGTACAGAGTTGTAGGAATTTGCCACACCTTTTTCTAAGCTGAGAGAAGACTTAAATGAAAGTTTGTAGTCTGAAGTTCCAAATAACAGATAAGGAAGATCTGTTCCTTATCTGAGCTTTCTAGAAATCAAAAATGTTGAAGTCATAGCACTCCATATGGCACAATAGCGATTTGTCCGATCCAAGTTCAAGTTACAGCTTTTCCAGATACCATTCCTCTCTCTCCAATCTAATCGTTTCCTTACTTTCTATGATTATACTATCTAAATGAAGGAAAAAGGTAAAAGAAAAGAAAAAAAGAAACTTGCTTACTGAATGAAAAAAGCTTACGTTCTAATTGACATTTATTAAATTTGTATATTGTTTATATTAATACCTATTTAATAATATAAAACTTTAATTTTTGAACATATACTGTATAAAAGTTGATATTTATAGTTTTTGCCTTCTAAAACAATTCATCTATATTAGTAATTTGCACCAATGATTAGATTTACTTTGTGGTGGACTAAAATATTTATTAGTGCATGAAGTTTAGCAGTTTAGGTTTTGACCATTTTTCTTTTTCATTTCTTTCTTTCCCTCTTTTTTTTGCCAATTTGCACAGTTATGTTATGAAATATTAAGTATTATATTACCGTATTAGTAAATATATTAAATAGCACAACTATTTATAACATGAAGAATTTTTGTCTAGTGTAGATCTGAAATGTCTTTTATAACTTTTTGTTAATTGTATACCTTGTGTAATTTATTCAGAGATCGCCATGAAAATAGCCTTGAGGCTGGCATGGCGTTAAATAAATACATTTATAACATTAATAATAAATAATATTTCAAATCAGCATATTAGAATGATTTCTGAAGGATCATGTTATTTTAAATTGGAATATTCTACAGTGTTCCTCTTTTTACTGCATGTTTGATCAAATAAATGCAGCCTTGATGAGTATGAGAGAATTTGTAAAAAATGTATCCCTATATCCCAGCCTATATCCCTAAACCTTTTCAATATGCCTTTTTGAACATAAGAGATAATCATGACTGTATGGTGTGCCATTTCAGCTCCAGAGATGGGACCAGACTTCTGGCGTGCTATACAAGAGGATCCTGTTAGGAGTGTGACAAACGTCACACTTATTATTAAGGTTTGTAAAGACTGACTTGATTGATTTACTCTAGCAACAAAATAAATATAAAGTATAAGATATAAAAAGTTTGAGCTTGAATGTTTTTTGTCACTTTTAGCAGCCTGTCCTAGCAGGAGATCCATATAGTTGTGTGGAGGGTCTGGTGATTGAACACCAGGCCTCAGGCAGAGCCGTGTGGTCAAATGAAACAACATTGGCTCAGTTTTACTCATTCCCGTGGAGGAAGGAAGCGCACACAGTCACCGTAATGTCTCACAATGCTTTGGGCATCTCTACACGGAATCGAAACATGATGTTGTTGCATCAACCCAAACGTGAGCTGACTTGCTTCATACCCTTCCTGGAACATCACGCGAAATACTTTCACTTCAGTCTAATGCAGTCTAATGTTATCAATGTTTTCGTTTGACACACAAAAAGTTTTGTTTGCCTTCAAACAAAACATGTCTATTTATGTGCCTATTGATGGTGCTTTAATTCATCCAGCCCTAATTTTTCCGGGTAATTGTTTTGATAGAAGCTTGGTGTTGTTTGTTTGGTGAAAGGGTTGTTTGGGATGGAGATTTGATCGAGTTATTACACATATTCAATGAAACATAATAACAGCAGGGTACTCTGATATTTTGTTCCTGCTTGTTACTATCTGTTGTTAAGTGTTTTTCACATAGAAATGATATAGATTTCCCTATTTGTATGAATTAATCAAGGCCTTCTTTCTTTTTCTAGGACGATGTGTACATTCATTCAGCGCAGTTGCAAATTCTAGCTGTGTGTATCTTTCCTGGAGCCTGTTATCTGATCATTCAGTGCCTCAGTCATTTGTCATCGAATGGCTAGACCTAAAAAAAGACCCTGAACAAGACGTGTCTTTGACTGAGAGGCTGCAGTGGGTCAGAGTTCAGTCCGCATCAAGAGATCTCTCCCTTTGCCGTAGGATATTTTGCTTGATATTCTTCACATATTCCTCACATTTGCATATCAGTACATGACAAAAACAAAAAAAGGTTTAACCTTAGCAGTGTAAATGATCTTTGACAGTGTAATTTGTTTTTGTACAGGTCGTTTTTATGGCTCAGAAGAGTTCACCTTGTATCCAGTGTTTGTGGATGGTGAAGGGGAGCCGGTGCGATGCACTGGTGGGTTTTACAGCAGTGACATCAAGTAATGCATTGACGTCATCATGTGATCAATTAAACCCCTGAAGACATTTTTATGTGCATTTGGTGCTTGGCCAGTGGACTCTGGTTTACAAACATTGCAGTATTATCTAGAACATTTATTAATTTTGTGAAGTACGCATTTTGCAAATGGCTGTCTAAAAATAGTGTATGAAAATCGTGTTGATTTGATAGATAAATGTGTTTTTCTTTGGTTTTGTCATCCAGCTACTAGGGGCGACCCTGCAGCATACATACTCCTACTGATCATTGCGTTCCTGTCAGTGGTGCTGTTTGTCACTCTTCTGATGTCTCAAAACCAGTAAGACTTACAACTATCCTCTTCCAGTCAAAATAAATATAGTTACAGTACCATTATGTCAAAATAGTTTATATGCTTAAATAGCTGTTATTTGTTCACATTAAAGCTGGAGGTCCCTGCTCTACCACTGTATTTACTGTACCAATGATAAATGTGTTAATCTAGAGAATAAACCCAAGGCTAAAAATGGCCTGAAAGAAAAATTCTTGGAAAACAATCGAATCATATTAAAAAATCACAGACCTCCTGTTTATCTACCTGGATTACCTTTTAAAGATGTTTTGGAAGCTACAATATATATTGATTTTGTAAGGCCAGTTGTTTGAATTAAAGTAAGGCATTGTAAGCTGATTTGTATGGGACTTTTTGGTTGTAATGAATGTCAGATATAAAATACATAAATTGGTTTACAATTTGAAATGTACATAAATTGCAATATTGCTCATTCCTAGCAATAGAGTAGTTTACTTGAGGGTAAATATTTCACAAGTTCTGCCAGAGATACTTACTAAGGTAACAAATATAATAACTTTATCATCTGCTTAGACTTGATTCTCAGGTAATGTTGTGACTTACAAAAAAGACATGTCTATATTGCTCTTGTAAGGAGTGGCAAAAGTGCAAATTGATTTTAAAGTTTGGATTTTGCAATGTGGGTGATGAAATCTGAATCTACTGCACTGATTAAGCAATAGTTAACAACAAAATTAATATTTGCTTAAAATTTACTCACCCTCAGGCCATTCAAAATGTAGATGAGTTTGTTTCTTCATCAGAACAGGTTTGGCATTATATCATTTACTCACCAGTGGATCCTATGCAGTGAATGGGTGCCGTCAGAATGAGTCCAAACAACTGATAAAAACATCATGATAACTAGTCCACATGACTCCAGTCCATCGGTTAACTTCATGTAAAATAAACATCTACGTGTTTGTAAGAAACAAAACAGAAAAGTCTATATTTAACAAGAATGATTTTTCTAGTAAAGAAGCTCCATCCCCTGTTGTCCTCTCACATCAAAAATCCATCAGCATATTTGTTTAGAAGAGTTTTGGCTTGCAAACAGTGTTTCACCTGTGCATATTTCTTACAGGATGAGAAAACTCATGTGGAAGGACGTTCCAAACCCTAACAACTGCTCCTGGGCCAAAGGAATAGACTTCAGGCAGGTCAGTGTGACCAACCATTAAAACCATTTTTTTAACCTAAAAATGGAGTAGATCCATTCCAGATTCAAATATAGGACCATTGTTTAATTGATCAATGAAACCATAAGGAATTTAATAATGTACATGAAATATGGGTAAATAAAATATGCTGCATGTTATGCTGGGAGGAGAAAGAGTTTGAACACATTCAGTACATATTGGTTAGTACATTTCCACAACATATCTGTTTCTTTCTCCTTGCAGATTGACACCATAGAGAACCTGTTCCCTCACTCAGAGGGTCTCACTGCCTGTCCACTGCTGCTGGTCTCTGAGAGCATCTGTGAGGTGGAAATCATCGAGAAAACTCATCCTGTTACACTTGAACATGAAAAAGACAATGAAGTACCCATTTATAACTCTGGAGACAAAACAACTACCGATTCTGCCCTTCTAGCAGACTCCTCTGAACCTCTGTCTCTGGAGGCTTCCACTGCTGCTGCTACTCCAGAAACATCAGGCCAGTCCTCAGTGACGTACTCGACCGTTCTCCTCTCCCATCAGCCCAGTCTCCATCGAAAGCAGCAGGAGAGTCTGAGCAGCTCTAGTGACGAAGGCAACTTCTCTGCCAACAACTCAGACATTTCTGGCTCTTTCCCTGGAGGACTCTGGGACCTGGAGAACCATGTGTGCTCTGACAGTGCCAATCCCCGCCATTCCAGCTCCTATAACTCCGTGGAAGAGTTCTCGGAAACATCAGATCAAGATTATGAAGCATCAGAAAGCACAGGTGTAGCCAAAGACCTCTACTACCTCGAGGTGAACGAAGAGACTGCTGCTGCTACTCCAGAAACATCAGGCCAGTCCTCAGTGACGTACTCGACCGTTCTCCTCTCCCATCAGCCCAGTCTCCATCGAAAGCAGCAGGAGAGTCTGAGCAGCTCTAGTGACGAAGGCAACTTCTCTGCCAACAACTCAGACATTTCTGGCTCTTTCCCTGGAGGACTCTGGGACCTGGAGAACCATGTGTGCTCTGACAGTGCCAATCCCCGCCATTCCAGCTCCTATAACTCCGTGGAAGAGTTCTCGGAAACATCAGATCAAGATTATGAAGCATCAGAAAGCACAGGTGTAGCCAAAGACCTCTACTACCTCGAGGTGAATGAAGAGGAGGAAGAAGATGAAGAGGAGATTGAGGAAACACAGAGTGAACAGGAAAAGTATGAAATGGTTATGAAGGTGCACGCCAGGCCTCTTCTAGAAGGCAAAAATTCCACAGCCGTCGCTTCCAGTGTATCTCACAGCATTCCTCTTTATCTGCCTCAGTTTCGGACTGAATGCATTAATCCACCCTGAAATAATAACAACAGCACCACTTGGTGGTAACATGGGATAATGTTTTTCTTCATTGGATGGAGGTCCGCAAACCTTTAGGGCATTTTCCATTAGGGCTGCACAATTTGAGAAAAAAAAAGACGTTTTTTAAAATAAAAATTGCGAATTCATTTTGAAATGTTTCTTTTATTATTATTTTTTTAAAGGGCAAGGCTGCATGATCTTGGAAAAAAAATCGAATTACTATTTTTTTTTTCACTGATAAAAATTGTGATTTTAAATATCACAAATAAATTATCTTTTAGCTCCAGGTTTTCTGAGCTTGTTTGTGGGGCTGCAGAATTTGGCCAAAAATCAAGCGTAGCGTTAGTTCTGGCAGGTCACGTTAGTCAAGCTCGCATCAGCTGACTCTCAGCTGATCCCCATCTACCTATAGGGATACGACACCTATCTAAGTATTCATATATAAGGTCCCTCAGTATTATCACAAGTTTTCACATTACTCAATAGCTAATTACCCTCCTCCATCCCCAACTCCTCCTCTGTCAGTCGGGATTCAGCCTTCTGATTCTCCTTTGAATAAGACTAATTCTAAAATGTGTACATAAAATTATTGAACTTTAACGATATCTGCAATACATTTATGTTGGTTCTGTTCTGTTTACCCTGGGGGGGTGATGCGCAGGGAGTTCTTGCCCAGAACAGAACCATACCATCAATCCAAACTGTATGCTAATTGTCAATCATCTTTGACGACGATAGTGGTCCTGACAGAAATGTGATTATGTATCAATATGACTATAAAATCATGATTAATATTATTAACATTTTTATTATTAGTATTGCTAAATGGAAAATAACAGAATAACTGTAAAATACAGAATGGTCTATTTAAATAAATACTATAATAATTTTGTTTTAGATCACAACTGTAAAATGACAGTACTAATATTTATGGCTGTCTTAATTTCTTAATTTAAACTATCAGCTGCAGAGAAAACTGCAGGGAGCCTTTAAAGCTTCTCTTTTGTTGACAACATCCAGCTTCTCATTACCAGTTTGTGAAGATGATTGACGCATGTTGCGTTTTTGCACAATGCGCATTATCAGATTGCAGAGATGAGTTTATGTGAAGCAGCATTTATTTGGAACCAATTCACATGTAAAAGAAAACGGTGCCGCACTTCACTCTGAAATGTGCAGCACATGTGTTTTATTTAAAATCACAGCCTTCGCGACTTGATAATCGCACTAAGCCATTTCGCTATTTTGTTTTTATTTTGATTAATTGTGCAGCCCAATTTTCCACCCTCAACTTTTTTTACAATTCTCCTCCTACCCAGTGTTTGAAATTACTCTTTTATGATCCATTTGACGTGTCCCTAATACATGATACCTTTACATCCGGATTACAGCCAGATTTCACAGGCTACACATTATAAAACTGAAAAAGGATGGTGTATAAAATTGATTTTAAGATAAAAAATTAGACGACAAAGAATTAACTTGACAGAGCTCAAACTCAAACCACACGGCAGCAACAAACAGGAAGTGACGTGTCTAGAGAATGTGATAGAAACAGAAGAGGATGATGTAGCCCGTCAACGTGTGAAAGATTTGTTAGAGTTTGCCAGCGAGATGATGCGACGCAACGACCGCGCAATACAAGATGGCGGTCGGCGACACAGACAGGAGTTCAACGGAGCTCGTGTATTTAAAGAAACTGTACGCAGAACTGCAGCATCATTTCGAGATATCCACAAGTATGCTGAAAAATGAAATTCAGGGCTTGAGTTTGAAAGTTCCTGATGTGTCAAATCCCCCTGTGTTTCCCCAACATAAGCAGGCAGTGCCTGAAGTCACAATCCGACATGATTTTAAGATTAATGGCCAAATAGGAGAACAGGGACAGAAAGATAAGCTGTCATACAACAACTTGATGCACCAGATTGATGCTGGAATAAATAAAGGACACAGAGAGTCTGAGATCATTGATGCTGTGATCAGAGCAGTCAGTCCAGGTATGAGCCTGCCTGACATGCTGGAGATTAAGACGGATTTAACCCTTTCCTAGCTGCGCACAATTCTGAAAGGCCATTATCAGGAAGAAAGCTCAACCGACCTGTATCATAGACTGATAAACGTAACTCAGGAGAGCCGTGAGTCACCACAAAATTTCCTCTTCCGAGCTATTGAATTAAAAGAAAGACTGTTAGCTGCTGCTCGAGATCCGGATGGAGAAGAACCATACAGTCCAGATCTCATACAGAGGAGATTCCTACGTGCGCTGGGGACAGGCCTGTCAAATGACCACATTAAATACCAACTGAAAACCTGCCTTGATGACCCTACAGTCACAGATGAAGTTCTCATCACAAAGATGAATGAAGCTGCAAGCCTCGAGTGGGAACGACGGCAAAAGTTCAAGAAAAATGCCCATGTCAAAGAGACTAAACTCACTGAGATCCAGGCAGAATTACATCAAAGTCAAGACAGAATGGTTCATGCTGTCGCAGGTAAAGAACAGTCCACGCACACACAAGTGAAAGCTTTGAAAACGCCGCAGGTGACAGACAAGAAAGACTCCGAGCTCTACGAGGCCGTCAAGCAGCTGAAGGAGGAGATTGAAGAAATGAGGAAAGTGATGACTGCTTACCATTCCACACAGCACCGAGAAAGGAAGCGGGGATGTCGTGGGTGTCAGGAGCATGGTAGCGGTGACCAGTGTGACCATTGTTTTAAATGTGGGCATCTTTCTAGAGGGTGCAGGGGACCACCTGCAGGAAGAACAGAAAGAGGGCACTCCGCTAGTAGTGTGACGGTAACAGCTCACATGATACCATCCCAGTGGTCGAAACATCAAAATGTACTCCTGTGTGACAGCATCAAGCAGTTGGAAGCCCAAGAAACAGCGAAGCAGAAGGAGACCTACCTACAGCTCATCAGATCAGTAAGTGCTAATCAGCTATCCACCAAACACAATGCACAGCTGCTGAATTTGATTGGAGAAAAATGTCTGGTGAACTGTTTCTTCGATGGTGTGGCAACGCAAGCACTCTGGGATACTGGCTCACAAGTCTGTCTCATGAACGAAAAGTGGAGAAAAGAATATCTCCCACACACCACGCTACATAGCCTCGAAGAGATTCTAGGTCCTGGAAGTCTCACCGGTAGAGCAGTAAATCAAACAGTCATCCCATTTGAAAGCTGGATCGAAGTGACGTTCAAGCTAGGAACAGACAAAGCCACACCGCTGGAATTGGAGGTACCTGTATTGATATCTGGTGATGATGGAGTGGCAGAGGAGCCCATTATTGGGTACAATGTCATTGAGTATCTTCTTAACAATGGTGTCGAGCAACCTACTAGTGTAACAACCAAAGCCATGAGTACTGCCCTGTCCTGCGACTGTAAGAAAGCAGAGGTGTTATTGAACTTAGTGAGAAGTCAGGACGATGGAGGCAGCGATGGAGTAGCGAAAACGGGAAGGTCAGTAACAAAAATTCCAGCTAAACAGGCTACAACTGTTAAATGTTGCATCAAAACGGGCCCTTTATTATCTGACCAAGACGCCTTGTTTGTGCCAGATGAGTGTGCACGGTGGCCAGACGGATTGAGGGTGGAGGAAAACATTGTCCACCTCTAGAGAGGGACTTGTTCACCCATCTGCATTCCAGGGATTAACGATACTGTCTATGACATTGACCTGCCTCCACGTGCAGTTCTGGGCCATATACAGCGAGTAAAGGCCATCTACCCAGCGGGGGTGAGACCAGTAACAGCCCAGCGAGATACTGTATGTGAGACTACCGCACACACCACTCAAGGCCCGCCCCTCAAAGACAGTAAAGTTACCCAATCTACGGAAAATGCTGAGACGTTATCGACCCAAAGTAAATACTTATGGGACCCTCCAGTTTGCGTTGACCACCTAACCTCCGAACAGCAACAGAAAGTCAAACAGCTGTTAAGAGAGGAAAGTGGTGCCTTTGCCCGTGATGACAGTGATGTGGGATGTATCCCATCTCTCCAGCTAAAAATCCATCTCCATGATACCACACCTGTGAAGCACACATACATGTCTGTTCCGAAGCCACTGCACAAAGAGGTTAAAGAATACCTGGAGGATTTGTTGAATAAGGGATGGATTACTAGATCAAAGTCACCATACTCTTCGCCGGTAGTCTGTGTGCATAACAAAAGTTGGAACTCTCCACCTCTGCTGCGACTACAGGGAGTTAAATAAGAAATCCATTCCATACAGACACCCCATACCCCGTATACAAGACATGCTTGACAGCTTGGTGGGCAGCGCCTGGTTTTCAGTCCTCGATCAAGGCAAAGCCTATCACCTGGGGTTTGTTGAGGAATCCAGCCAACCTCTCACTGCGTTCATAACACCGTGGGGATTATATGAATGGGTGAGGGTCCCGTTCGGATTGTCAAATGCACCTGCCGAATTTCAAAGGAGCATGGAGGAGTGCCTGAGAGAACTGCGTGACGAGGTATGTCAACCTTATTTAGATGATAACCTAATCCATTCAAAAACATTTGATAATCATCTTTAGGACCTTAGAAAGGTGTTGCAGTGTTACCAGAAATATGGTGTTAACCTAACGCCTCGAAAATGTGAAGTGTTCCGAAACCAGGTACGATTCCTAGGGAGGCTGGTGACCAAAGATGGGTACACGATGGACCCGGCTGACATTGCTCCAGTCCAAGCACTGAAGGAGAGAACCCCTAAGACAGTTGGCGAGGTGAGAAAGTTATTAGGATTT